AGTAAAATAAAACTATTACTGCTGATTGACCATCTGCATTTAGTTTTGCTTCCATGCCATACTGCAATCTTACATAGTGTTATTTTGGATGTCACAACAAGGGAAAAATGGCTGTGTAAGTTGAAAAACAGGCACTTGTCACTTGTGAAATGACTCAATAATTTCAGTGTCAAAACCTATTGTTAGTCCAAATATCATGAGATGAAAGTCCTACTTCAAATAATGCACCTTAAAATTATTCAAAATATTAAACATATATTATGGAACAAGTACTTTTGATTGTGAATGGCATTACTTTGAAGTGCAGAGTATTTTAAATTAACTAAAAACAAAATAATGAAGTCTGAAGTTTTACTGTATTTCTCTTTTACATTGAACACCGAATGACACATATACTGATTAGCATATATGTTGTTATGAATAATAATGATTGTACTGACAGGTTAAAAACTTGAAAAATTATTTTAAAAAAATAAAAACATGCACAGAACAAACAGCATTCTGTTGTGTCTTACTTTCACTCTTTGTGGAATAATAATATACCTTGTCAGTTTTAAGTACATGTCTCTTATGGGGGTAAAAGTGAAGGTTGCATCTGACCATTTCTTTCTTTTCTTTTGCATGGTTCAGAGTTCTGGCTATAACATACAATTTGGACTGTTTGGTTTTCCATATAGATTTCCTAATTATGGACTACAAAGAGTTCAGATCATTTTAAAGCAGTTCTCACAAATAAAAGAACCATGATATACAAATAGTTATTCTGATTTGTTGGAGAAAACAAAACTGTTTACATTCATAGCTGATATCACACATTCCAGTTGTCTCCAGCACAGTACAAGCTACCTGGCATCATGTCTGTTTCTGCTTCAAATCCCAAATTAAAGAATGCATATCTAAAAAATACTTGTTACATTTAAAAACATAAGCCAGTACTTATACAACTCATTCAGTGGCACAAGAGAGCTTAAACTGTACCAAAAGAGACTAGTACCATAAGTACAAATACAGTGTTTCAATATACCTTGTAATGTGACATTAAGAGATCATAACAACAATTACTTGATTGGAAAAGAAATGACACTCATGTAGTGAGGCAGTCCAAGATTGCTCGCTGGTCAAACCTGAAATTCAGCCATGATGCAGCACTGAATTGCAAGAAATCAGGATTATTCTTTTCATGACCTGTTCCAGTACTAGAAGATGTACCGCTACTATTATGGTGCTGGTGTCGATTCCGCGATCTCTCTTCCTCATCTAAAGTAAACACACGCTACACATTACATTACCATACTTTTTAATTTCAAATGCACATCTTTCTAGCATCTTTGAATTGTAAATCAAGTTTGAAAACTCCTTTTGCTAAAACAAATATAGTGAGGTCAAAATATGACCTCACCACATAGCAGTCTGTAGGGTTAACCAAAAATGTCTTTCATCACAAAATGTTACACAGTGCCATAATTCATGAACATGCTGTAACTCAACAACAGACTTGGTAACAAATCCATATATCGTAACAACGAACTGTGACATTACTTACTAACAAATAACTGTCGCTTGAAGCTTGGCTTAAAGGTTCGGGAATTCTCCTGGCGACGTATATTTCGTGGAGGAGAAGAATTAGATGCTTTTTGCTGACGCATCAACTGAAAATCTTGTATCTCAGCCTACATATAAAATAATATAATAAAAATAACAAAATAATGGTCAAGATACATTACTAAAAAAGAATTTCTCGTTTTAACAGCATTCTAAGCCATTTAAATTGCATTAATATACTCACTTTTGCATTCATAACTTTAATACATTAATATGAAAGATACGAAACCAGTTTTAAAACACTTCTTTGAAGATGCTAATTTTGCTTATATATCCTGCCAACATTTTTAAAGTTCTTACCTGAATAGCTTGAGCAAATTGCTGCTGTTGCTTTTTGTTCTTAGGCAGATTTGTTTCAGCATCACCCACTGATCTGTGCCTGTGTCTTCTTGTTCCTTGCGCTCCCTTTTGTTGCTTATCAAAAATCCACCTCTTCAACCGTCTGCAAAATAAATATATAAAAACACCAAATAAAATTTTAAGATATCTAAATCGTATTAAAAAAACACTGT